TTTTAAAGTTTGTTTTTTTTTAATGTTTTCGTAGTGTGTTTTTGTCTTTTTTTTTTTTAAATATGTCTATATATATATATATATATATATATATAATTTTTGTTTATTTTGTTTATTAAACTAAACAAAATGAGAAATATTACCATGGCGATGATATAATATTCTATTTCATTTAATGTTAATTTTATTTCAAGTAATGACATTTCTTTGTATTGAAGTTTTAGTTAATGTTTTTGTAATTTTGTTGCGTTTTGTTATTTTTATTAGTTTTTTAAAATATGTCTATGGTTTTTATTAATTTTTATTTATATTTTTTTTTTAGTTTATAAGTTTTAGTTATTACTTCAATGAAATGAAAATGAGAACTATTGCCTTGGCAACAAGCTGATATAAAATAAGATGATAATTTTTGTAATTTATTTTATTTCAGGAAATGTTTATTTCATTTAATTGAATGAAAATGTTTATCGTTTTAAATGTAATTATTTTGTGTGTTTTTAAACATTTTTAAACATGTCTATATAGTTTTTATAATTTTTTTCCTTTTAGTTTTAGTTTATTTAGTACTTTAACTTTAAAAGAAAATGAGAAATGTTGCTTTGGATATAAAATATAAAATATTATTTTTTAGATATTTTATTTAAATTCAGTTAATGTTTATTTTAAGTAATTTTTTTTTATTTTTTAAAGGTTTTAGTTTTAGTTAACAATAACAACCCTGCTTAGAAGTCAATAGTAATACACTAGGGCAGGGGTGCCTAACCCTGAACACAACTGAACCAACTAATTAGGATCTGAAGGAGCACTTGATAATTACAGACAGGTGTGTTTGATCAGGGTTGGAACTGAAGTCTGCAGGAAGGTAGATCTCCACGACCAGGGTTGGGCACCCCTGCACTAGGGTGACCTGGTTGAGTTTGTGGTGATGTTTTTTCCATATCTTTCTCGTCTCAGTCCTGTGATCTGCATCCGGCCATGTTTTCTGCTCTGGTGGGAGACAAACCTGAGTTCGTGCGGCTCCTGCTGGAGAATGGAGTGTGTGTGAGGAAGTTTCTGGAGCATGAGGACACGCTCTGTGAGCTTTACGCCCACCTGCCCGCCTGCTTCTTCCTGCGCAAACTCGCTAAAAGAGTCCAGGGTGGAAAAATCCGCAGGGGTCAAGAGCCGCCGCCTGGAAGCACAAAGATCTCCTTGAGTCACGTGGCTGAAGAAGTGCGCCACCTGCTGGGGAGTTTCACTCAGCCGTTATACGAGCCGTCACGCTACAAGATGACCAAAGATGATGTCCGTTTGATGGCAAGTTTAAGAACAGCACATCAAAAACAGCTCAGCAACAAGGACATATAAATACAATTAAATTGAATTAATACATTGTTATTTTTTCATATTACAGCAGTGTTATTGTAGTACACTCTTAAAAATAAAGGTGCTTCAAAAGGTTCTCCAAGCGATGCCATAGAAGAACCATTTTTGGTTCCACAAAGAACCATTCGGTCAAAGGTTCTTTAAAGAACCATCTCTTTCTTAGCTTTTTATAATCTGAAGAACCTTCTTTCGCCACAAAGAAGCTTTTGTGAAACAGAAAGGTTCTTCAGATGTTAAAGGTTATTTATGCAACCATTTAGACAAAAAGGTTCTTCTATGGCATCGTGAAGCACCTTTATTTTTAAGAGTGTATACTGTACTTCAACAAGTGTTTATTAATAATTTTTATTTTTATGTTTTCCATTTTCCATTTTAATTTTAGTTCAGTAGTAGTAATTTTGTAATTTTTAATTTTTATTCGTTTTTTTATATTTCTATTTAACTTTCATTTATTTTTTGTTGTTAGTTTTAGTCATTTTAGTACTTCAACTTTTTTATTTAATTTAAATGCCAAGGCAATATTTAAAATTTGAAATTTCAAGAGAAATATTTCAAGATCGTCAGCTAATAGTTATTTTCATTTAGTTTTTCAGCTTCATTTCATTTAACGAAAATAATTTTAATAGTTTTCGTTTAAGTTAGCAATAACAACACTGCTGAGGATTGCAATGGTTTTTGCATCAGTACTAACAAAATTTAATTTTTTCCCTTTTTTCATGTAAATTTAGTTTTAATGATGTTATTTTTACTGGAAAACAAGCCAAAAATAATTACATTTAACTGATAATGTTATTATGAAAGTGGGTTATTAATTTACATGTAAGCATTTATATACTATTATAAAATGTATTAATGTTTTTATTTTTATATTTTCAGTTTTTATTTTAATTTTAGTTTTAATAATTTTGTTATGCATGTTTTTGTTGTATTATGTTTTTTTTATTTCTTTTTAGCTTTATTTTTATTTCAGTTTTAGTAATTTTAGTACTTTAACCTAAACTTATTTTATTTCAGTTTGTTTCCAAGGCAACATTTAAAAATTTTTACATTTTAAAAACGTTGCCTTAAAAACATCCAAAATCTTTAATATAATATTTCTCTTCTTTTATTTCAGATTTATTTCAATGAACAAACTCTTTTTTAAAACTGAAACTTTGAAAACAAGACAAAAATTATGATATTACATTGATAATGATAAAAAAAAGATTAGTTATTAATTGACATGAAAATAATAATGTCACAATCAGTGCTGTCAAACGATTAATCGCATCCAAAGCATACACAGTACACACACACACACACACACACATATTATTAGAACAAAAACGTTTATTTTGGATGCGATTAATCGCGATTAATCGTTTGACAGCACTAGTCACAATGCATCTCAAAGATTCTAAAGTAGGCATCTTGTACAAAATATAATTTAATATGACTTATTTTTGACCCGGACATGTTTTGGCAAGCTTCTAGAATGATGGTTATCAGAAGAGTCGGTGTGTTTTCTTCACTGTTTCAGGTGCCGTCCAAAGGCCTGGTGGATCTGCCGTGTTCGGGTGAAGAGTGGAGCGCAGACACGGTTTGGGACCCGGGACGGGATCTGTTCCTCTGGGCCGTCGTGCAGAATAACACAGAACTGGCAGAGATCGGCTGGGAGCAGGTACAGCAGTGATTAGTGATGAACGCTCCACTTTAGGATTCGCATTTACTTGTTTTCTGCTTCATTTGGTGGTAGAAACTCATATAGCTGTGAAACATAATAATAATAGTCATAATAATAATCAGTGCATTTGGATAGTTCACATAATTAAACTGATTAAGGAAAAAACTATTTGATGATTTTAGCAACTGTAATGTATTTATAGTGAAATACTTTGTTATTATATATCATACAGATTATTTTTTATGTTTTTAAATGTCCAATAACCTATTTGCAGAACCAGATTGTAATTTATTTATTTGTATTTTTTGACACAATAATACATAATCATTAGACTATTAAAAAACAATTCAAATGAAATTCATTATGAGTATTTAATAACTATAATAATAATAATTATTATTATTACACTGGTTATGAACAAAAAAAACAACTGATTTATTTGCATACCTGTGTGGTATTTATAGTGAAATATTTTGTTATTATATATCATACAGATAATTTTTTATGTTTTCAAGTGTCCAATAACCAATTTTTTATTTTTATTTTAATGTTTGACAAAAGAATACATAATCGTTACTAATAATAATAATAAATATTAATAGCAACAATAATAATAACAAAAACAACAATAATTATTATTATTATTCAGTTTTGTTGCCTCTCTTTCATGTGAAATATTGTCCATTCAGTTTTGTGAAAATGAATGTTCACATGATTAAACAAGTTAAAAATAAAACATATCAAATTATTTTATACTAATAATAATGGCTGCTGTTCATAATTTTTTGACTACATTATATAAATTATGGAGTTTTCTATTTTTATTCATTGTAGTTTGCCTAAATTTAGCTATTCAGATGCTGTTTGTGTGAAACAAGTACTCATATGATTTATGATAAATGGTATAATCTGATTGTGTATTTAAAGGGGTGCTATTATGCTTTTTCACTTTTTCAACTCTAGTTAGTCTGTAATGTTGCTGTTTGAGCATAAAAAGGATCTGCAAAGTTACAAAGCTCAAAGTCCACTTCAAAAGGAGATATTTTATTTAACAGAAATCACTTAAAAAAACTACAACGAACGACTCGTTTGGACTCCTGTAATAATGTAAAATATGAGAAAAATAATGTGTTTTTCGAACAACCTAGTATGAGAGCCTGTTCTAGTACAAAGAACAAAACAAAATCAAGACTTTGTAAAAGAGCATAATAGGACCCCTTTAAAAAGATAATTATCTCCTCTTGAATAGCGTCAGTGTGGTTGCGGTTGTAGTTAGTATTGTGTTGTGTTTGCAGTGCAGAGACTGTATCGCAGCCGCTCTGGCAGCCAGTAAGATCTTGAGGAAACTGGCGCAGGAGAGCGGAGAGGACGACAGCGAAGAGGCAAAGGAAATGAGAGAACTGGCCAGTCACTACGAGAAACAAGCCATCGGTACGAGCCGACACACATCGCCTCATGTCCTCTGAGCAGAGCTGTGACCTTTAACCCTGTGCTGGTGACTTCCTGTCTCAGGTGTGTTCAGCGAGTGTCACAGCTGGGACATGCAGCGGGCGCAGAAGCTGCTGATCCGCGTCTCTCCGTCGTGGGGCAGAAGCACCTGTCTGTGGCTCGCGCTCGAAGCCGACGCGAAGAGCTTCATCGCTCACTCTGGAGTCCAGGTGAACAAACCCTAAAAAAAATCTAAATACTGAGAAAATCATCTTTAAAGTTGTCCAAATGAAGTTCTTAGCAATGCATATTACTAATCAAAAATTAAGTTTTGATATATTTACGGTAGGAAATTTACTAAATATCTTCATGGAACATGATCTTTACTTAATATACTAATGATTTTGGGCATAAAAGAAAAATCAATAATTTTGACCCATGCAATGTATTTTTGGCTATTGCTACAAATATACCCCAGCGACTTAAGACTGCTTTTGTGCTCCAGGGTCACAAATATGAATGGCTTTCCTGTCTTGGCATATTAAAGGGATAGTTCACACAAAATTGAACATTAAGTCATTATTTACTCACCATTGTGATGTTCTAATGCCATATTCCCTTCTTTCATTTTTCGGATCACAAAAGGAGATTATTTTTAAAAACATTTGTCAAAAAAAACTCGACTATTGTGTGGTGTCCTTATGATTGTTTAACTGAACTTTTGATCGGGCTGCCTGCATGGCTATGAGGTCCGGACCTCGGTACATTTTTCATGTTCAAAAATAAAATGTGTTCTCTGAATGGCTAATTTACTGTTTAAAACTCCTCATATGAGTGTCTGAATGTATAATTCAGTTTAGACCGTTTGGTGGAGTGAACGAGGATTGAGTTGTGAGTGAGGGTGCAAGCCTCTGTGTTGCCAGATCCAGCTATTATAAGCGTCTCTGGAGTCTTCTTTTCAACTTAATTTGACACTTTAGAAAGTTAATAAAGTGGGAAGTTGCAGTTTAGAGTTAGCGATATCTTTGTCTTATCTTGCACTAATTTTGGTTTATTTTCTCTTTATTTTTCGGTTTTTATTTGTTTTCATAGCAATATCTGGCAACACTGCATCACCGGCACTTAACCTGACAGTAATCAAAAAAGCCCACGGACAGGTTATTGCTGACAGGATACCACATTCAGCAAAAAACATGATATTATCTATCAGAAACGTTATCAACGAATATTATTATTATTTAATTCATATTATTTATTCATAAGGATTATTATATGTGACCCTGGAGCACAAAACCAGTCTTAAAGGGGTCATAGGATGGACTGGACTGGTGTCTTACCTTAGCTCCGCCCTGAGTGACTGTCATCAGTCCGCCATTGTTTCACCGCCGGAGCAGATGTAGACAAGAATGACAATGGCGATTGAGGTGTTCTGCTGTTGGATGTAACAATGAACATATCAGAAACCATACATCAATGGAAAGTTTATTTATTCAGCTTTCAGATGATTAATAAATATGATGATGATTATTATAACCAATATGCAGCACTATTTTTCTTTTTTTATTTCTGTTTTTTTTACAATAATAAATAAAAGAATATTAGAGAACAATTATTCATTATAAATATTACATAACGATATTTTTATCAAATATTATTATTATTATTATTATTATATTGCATAGATAACAAAACAATACTTTGTACAATAAGAATAATAGCTATTATTAATAATATTATACATCTTATTGTATAATAATGATAATATTATTTTTATTTTATTTCTACAAAACGTATTGCTTTTGTTTCTGATGGAATTTTATTTATATATTATTAAAAGGTTGTTTTGTGGTCTAAAAGATTGCATAAATATCTTTTTTGGAGTCTGTGAAAGGGTAGGTAAGCGGTGCACGCAAACCATTCGCTCGAAATAATAAAACTACCTGTGAACGCTGTTGTTTTTGGTGTTTTCTGTACAGGCTCTGCTGACTCAGATCTGGTGTGGAGAGCTGTCTGTGGATAATCCACACTGGAAAGTGCTGCTCTGCATGATCTTCTTTCCTCTCATCTACACCGGCTTCCTGACCTTCAGGTAAAAACACTCATTGTCATCAAATGCATTATTAAAAGTAAACCTGAAGTCATGTCAATGGGTCATTACATGCACACACCATCAGATATCAGCGCTGCACTGAATAATTAAGCTGCAAATGCACTTTCACCACAAACCATGACTTTCAGTGATTCGCAGTGGCTTCATATAAGTGGTGTTTTAATTCTTAATGTTAAACTGAACTCTCACAGACGGGATGAAGACATCCAGAGACAGGCCGAGAGGACAGAGCAGCAGAAACTGGCCATGGATTCAGTCTTTTCTGGAAGCTCAGACACCAAACTCAAACGGCATTATCGGTTAGTTGAGTTACAGGCACAAACTCTGAGCATCTTCAGGCCACATTCACACGAATGCGTTTAAAGACATGAGTGAATTAATTAAACCAATGTTAGCATCATACAGATCATTTTTTATGTTTCAATCATTTGTTGTGTTTTTTAACACAATAATACGTAATCTTTAGACAATCAAAGAACAATTATTCATTATGAATGTTGCACAAAGAAATATTACTATTATTTTTACATAAGCAATATGCAGAACCAAATTTTAATTATTTTATAATTTTTTTTAGATTGTTAAAGAACAATTATTCATTATGAATATTACATAAAATTATTATTATTATATATTATATTATTTTTGTTTTTATTATTATTACATAAACAATAAGCAGAACCGATTTTTAATTACTTTAATTTAGTTTTTTGACACAATAATAATCCATCTTTAGACTGTTAAAAATAATTATTCGTTATGAATATTACATAAAGTGATTATTATTTTATAATGTATTATTGTTATTATTATCTTCATGTAATATTCATAATGAGTTATTATTATTATTATCATGATGCCTTAACCAATATGCACAACCAGTTTTAATGATTTTGTTTTTGTTTTTTGGCATGATAATAAAAAATAGACTATTAAAAAACAATTATTCATTATGAATATTACAAAAAGATTATTTTTGCTGTTGTCTTTATGCAGTTTTCATGAGTTGCTATTATTATTATCTTCATGTAATATTCATAGTGATTTGAATATTATTAATAATATTATTATTACATAACCAATATGCACAACCAAATAATCTTTAGAATATTAAAGAACAATTATTCATTATGAATATTACATAAAGATTTATTATTATTATTATTATTATTATAACAAAAAGTACCGCAAAAGTAACGTAATGCATTACTTTCCATAAAAAGTAACTAAGTAATGCAATTAGGGTTAGAAACTCAGGGTGTAATGCAATATTGTAATGCATTACTTTTGAAAGTAATGTTCCCCAACACTGGTATTGGTATTGAGATTTTGCTTGGCAATAATGTATCGATACATGAACACCAAGTATCAATATTTTATTGTATAAAAATATAGAAATTCCCACAAACATTTATTCACTTTTATGTAGGAGTAAATGAATGGGGATAGTTCACCCAAAAATGAAAATTAGCTCATGATTTACTCACCCTCAGGGTATCCTAGGCGTACCTGACATTCCTCTTTCAGACGAACATAATCGCAGTTATATTTAAAATTGTCCTGGCTCTTCCAAGCTGTATAATGGCAGTGAATGGTGCCCCTGTTTTTGAAGCCAAAAAAAGTGCATCCATCCATCATAAAACTACTCCACACGGCTCCGGGGTGTTGATAAAGGCCTTCTGAATTGAAATGATGCATTAGTGTAAGAAAAATATCGATTCTCTTTGGATTTGAGACTTTAGTCTTTGCAACTTTACAGATCTTCTTTATGCACCAAGAGCTTTTAACACTCCAAAGAGAAATGACAAATTGAAATCGCATCATATGACCCCTTTAAAAATGAATAAACTGTAATCTCCAGCTTCCAGTCGCTCAAGCAGGCGCGTTCACGACAAGGCGTTCGAGCGAATGACATGACGCTCCGGGGAGAGAGTGTAGTCTCGCCAGAACCAAGTTTTGTTTACAGCACAGGGAAACCACATGAACTACATCTGTAGTTTGTGCCGCCGCCGCTGCAGCCTCCTCCATCTCGTGGAGTTCCTGGTCCGTATACTCCAGTTCAAACAAATATGGCCGGATTTGTAGTACTAGTTCGTGACAGGTGTTTTGTTTTGCTTTCTCCTCTATGCTTCCGCGTTCGTCACTCGCTCCCCGTTGCACCTTCCACTACGCCTACATCATTCGCTCAAATGCCTTGTACGCAATACGAGAACGCGATAATAGTATTATTATTATTCATCTTTGAAATGTTCCTTTCTAAAAAAAAAAAAAAGAACAAAACGCCTACCGCTTATATGCATTCATTTCACAGTTTTGTGGAAGACACAGCATTTGACCACTGGATTTACAAAAATCGTTTTAATTTTAAGAAGTGTTTTCAACATTGCATCAACTACTGATAAACACATTCATTTTTTATTTGAATTATCAGAGGGTTATTTAATCATGTATTATTATGTCTTTGGAAGGCTTTTGTCTTTCAAACACATTAAAATGCACTAATTCACATTTTTTCTTATTTACATGTAATGCAGACTTTCCCAAACTTTTTTGTCATATGAACCTCTTTCACCTAATATTAAACTTGCATTGACTGATCTTAAAATATATCAGTGCCTTTGTTTTATCTCAAGATGAACACCATGTTTTTTTTTCTAAGCAAGTTTATTAAAATGATCTAATCCTGGTTTAGTCTAAGCCCCGTCTGTGAAACCGGGTCTTTGTATTTTTATCATTGTGGTACAAGATTATCCTATTTAAATCAATGTGATAAATGAGTTTGGTCAAAAGTAATCTAAAAGTAATCAAAGTAGTCCGATTGCTACCCAGCTCTGTATATATACTGTATATATATATATATATATATGTACAACACAAAAATCATGGGAGCGGAAGAAAACAGTCCCGCACAGGGCTGTAATTTCCACCCTTAGGAAATATACCTCCTTTAGGGTGAAGTTGTAATTATTCACCCATCATGTTGTTATTCTGTACGTTGAAACTCTGATATGCCACAGTTCTATCATGACTTTGACGGGCCTGGTTTCCGGAGGAAAGCAAAGATGTACATCAGTGATGTGTGGAACATTCTGGATGTGCTGTCAATCATACTGTTCATTGCTGGTCTGGTCTGCAGGTAAACGCAACTACAGTTAAGACATGATTCATATTAATTCCGTACAGTTCATATTTGCTTTCAGTAAGTTGAGATTATACAGAAATGATCCTCATACTTAGAGCTGTATAATTTTTTTTTTTAAACAATTACTAATATGTATCTCTGTATTTATGTATTTCCTCTGAAATCACTTAAAAGGGTCTTTTTTTAATCAAGAGGAACAATAAGTTTGATCAAACAGTCAATGTAGTCAAGTTGAATCAGTAAAAACAGTGAAAATCTAGTTACAGTAATCATTTTCATTAAGGTAAGGTGAAACGTATTATTCCCATAAAGAATTATTAAATTATTAATAATTATTTTCTCTAGAACAGATGTACGAATTACACAAGTTAATCAGAACTTGTGTAATTCATACATTTGGTTTTAGAGAAAATGGCTGTAAACAACTGTAAAATCAAAGAAATTGTTGTGAAGTTGTTCACAGATTTGCATATTGTTTGGGTAATAAAAAAATAATAAATAGCAATATTTAAAAAGTAATATTTAATAAAAAAGCAGTATTTACCTACAGATGTTTGCTAGAACATTTTAATGCATAAAAAATTCCACGTGGAATTCCGAATTATGAATCTGCTCATTAAAACAATTAACATGATTTCACTGAAAATTTAATGCAAAATGCAAATTAAATTGTATTATATTATATTATATTATATTATATTATATTATATTATATTATATTATATTATATTAAGGCATTTGCAAACTATTAATGTTTGTTATTATATTATAAAATTGCATATGGAATTATATGTATATATGCAAAAATATGTTGTTTTGTATACTATACTTTGTAAGGACTATTAATCAGTAGTTTAAGTCAGTTGTAGACCGTTTTTTAAATTAAATATGAAATAAAATTTAATGCAAAATGCAATTTAAATACGCAATAAAATTTAATGCAAAATGCTATTTAAATATGCATATTCATTTAACTGAAATAAATCAAACTTTCAACATTACTAGACTCTCTTGTAGGCCATATAAAGGAATCATATTTAAAGTTTGTGTCCCTCATGTGTTCATTTAAATTCAGTTAAGTTGCATAATGACTCAGAAATGAATAGAAAGTAAACTAAATCAGTCTTTTTGTGTTTGTCGTACAGACTTCAGGCCTCCGGTACTGTGTTCTATGTGGGTAAAGTTATTCTCTGCATCGACTTCATCATATTCTGTCTCCGATTAATGGCCATCTTCACTATCAGCCGAACTCTTGGCCCCAAGATTATCATCGTCAGGAAAATGGTGGGTTTGCATGTTCATAATGCTCATTTATTCACTTATAATTGACAATAATTCACTTATAATTGATAATTATACAATAATTCTATACAGCCTAAGTTGAGAGAGTCACAAGGAATCAAATATTTATTGATCATTTGAAAGGAACGAGTTCATTGTAATATGAAACATCTTGGACCTCAGGGGCGATAAAGATTCATATGAGCCTCTCATAATGTAACATATTTTTGCATAAAAGCAAATGCAGACAGACTGAGCTATGAATGTTGTCTCTTCTCTTTGCAGATGATGGATTTGTTCTTCTTCATGTTTCTGCTCAGTATTTGGGTGGTGGCGTATGGCGTGGCCAAGCAGGGCATTTTGATTCACAATGAAGACAGACTGAACTGGATCATCCGCGGAGCCGTCTATGAGCCCTACCTTATCATTTTCGGCAACGTCCCCACTAATATAGACAGTGAGCAGTTTACTAACTTTACAATTGAAATCACTCGATTGCGCACTAAAGGAAGATATCACAACAGTAGGGTTCTGATAAGTAAATATCACTAATTTTCTCCACAGAGTGCAATAATGTATAACAATTTTAAGATGCACCTACTATGAGCTCCAAGAGTTGGTGTGATTTATACTTTGTTGAAAAAAAGTTGAGTAACTATATTAAATATGTAAGAGGAAGTTGACGATCCTGACTCGCCATCTCCTCACTGGACGTGCCTTTAGAGAGAATAGCATCTTTACGGATTACATAATAAAAGAGTTTTTGTTTTCGATTATAATTATTTCGTTTTATAGTAGGCTTGCCGCAATTGACGGTGCTGACGGTGATACCGTTGTTAAGCCACAACACCGGTTACGTTTCGTATTCGTGATTTAGTTTCGAAACGAAATGCAAAAGCGCCTGTTTGGCAGTATTTTGGATTTTGAAAAGCCTGTTGACTTTTGCCGTTTATCTAAGGTGATTTTGGAAGTTTTTATTTATTTTTATATTTATTTTTTTATTTTTAAATAAGTTTTCTTATTTAATTGGTTCCACAGTGTTTGCTGATTTTTACTTTATTTAAACTTCGTGTAATTTGTTTTTCAAGGTGTATGCCGTGCCTCCAAGCTTTCTTATTCATTTTGCTAATAAACTTTCTACGTTTCTTATTTATTTGGTTATATATTATACATGTTTACTTATTTCCAGTTTTGTATAGGCTACCTATTTAAACTTTATGTAAGTTATTTGTTATTTTATATTAGGCATAGCCTGTCCTATAGCATGGTGTGTTTTTATTCGTTTTGTTAATAAAAGTTCTATGTTTTATATATAGGCTAAAGTGAGTTTGACGTTGTATTTTGTTGTTGCATTCAAGCAATTGACGCCAAATTAAATCTTAATAGCTTAAGCTATTTAAAAGCGAAGGAAAGCGAGGAAAAGAGGGAAAATTCAAACGATCAATTGCTTTATGCCGAATTCCCGCTATTTGAAAGTGAAAGTAAAATGCGCACGCTTTTGCAAGCTATTTAAAAGCGAAGGAAAGCGAGGAAAAGAGGGAAAATTCAAACGATCAATTGCTTTATGCCGAATTCCCGCTATTTGAAAGTGAAAGTAAAATGCGCACGCTTTTGCAAGCTATTTAAAAGCGAAGGAAAGCGAGGAAAAGAGGGAAAATTCAAACGATCAATTGCTTTATGCCGAATTCCCGCTATTTGAAAGTGAAAGTAAAATGCGCACGCTTTTGCAAGCTATTTAAAAGCGAAGGAAAGCGAGGAAAAGAGGGAAAATTCAAACGATCAATTGCTTTATGCCGAATTCCCGCTATTTGAAAGTGAAAGTAAAATGCGCACGCTTTTGCAAGCTATTTAAAAGCGAAGGAAAGCGAGGAAAAGAGGGAAAATTCAAACGATCAATTGCTTTATGCCGAATTCCCGCTATTTGAAAGTGAAAGTAAAATGCGCACGCTTTTGCAAGCTATTTAAAAGCGAAGGAAAGCAGGAAAAGAGTCCGCGGTGATACCGGTATTATTGAATTATTTCATTTTAAAGTAGTAATTTAAAGCTTTCTATAGGCATCATGTCTGTGAGGCAAGTATTCGCTGAGTTTCGGTTCATTTTTGTGAAACACTCCTTTTCAAGACCGAGACGGCAGAAAAGCGCATCCTGTTTGTTTTCTTTATTTTAAAAAAGCACAACGTTTTGTAGATTTGTAACCCTTTACAGTTCCGAATGATGCATTACTCCTATATTTATGAGCAAGTTGTTTCTGTTATTAAGAAAAAAATGCAAGTGATCGCGCCGGCGCCTCAATGTCCTGCAGAGCGTGCTTTAACTTCCACTCTTCGCACAAACTATTGGATATTAATGCACCTAACAGCACACATTTTTTTGTTAAACGTTTTTTAGGCAAGTCGTGTTGATTTGAGAAGGCTAAATTGATCAAACCTGATGAACTCATTGTCTGCCGCTGGCCGCTTGGTCGTTACTTTAAAAAACAAAAAATGTTCCAAACATATTTCTTAATTAACTTAATAATGAAAAGAAAAGAAATATAACCACTTTGCCATTAAAAACAAAACTGAACTATTTTAATGGCTGCAACAGCAGCTGTGCAATAGGGAAGAGAGAGAGAGAAAACCGAGACGGGCTCCAGTCGGACTCGGGCCGAGAATTCTGATAAATTGTCAGATAATTTATATTTAGCTTCTTTCAATTTCTTATTAAGCGTCAAAAGAAAAAACACATTCATCTGGAAGAAGGGGGCAAACAGTATATATATATATATATATATATAATATGCAATGAAATCTAATGCGAAATGCAATTTAAATATGCAATAAAATTGTTTGCTGTAATATTATAAAATGTT